TTTTATTTCAATAAAGTACGCCACACTATTTACATTATTCGGACTATTGTCCTCATCTTTGTCGCCATATTTATTACAACGTTTCGGCCGTTGTACGCTCCGGCCTTCTCCAGGTGGTTGGAATATCGAACTGAACCTTTTATTTCGCTCACTGGGGTAGACTGTTCTATTCAATTGTCAGTTATCTCCTGTTAATTTCCCTCTCCAAGTTCTCGACTGCCTTAACCGGGTATTGAACTCACACTCTTTGGGTCCTGTCACTGGATCTAACTAACGCCTTTATCCATTGTGCCATGTGTCCTTGAAGCAGAGATCTATTGGAACTGCTCACTAACCTTGACATAGTTGGGAAGGATATTAGAATAATCAAGAACCTATACTGGAAGCAAACCAGATAGAGAATAAGTTCAAGAGATATAGAAAAACAGAAAGGGGGTGCAAGACAAGGATGTGTCTTCTTACCAGACTTATTCAACCTATTCAGCGAGACCATTTTGAGTGAATTAGAAGGATTCGTCATTGGAGGCCACAATCTTAGCAACATAAGATATGCAAATGACACAGTTCTGACAATAGACACAGAAAGAAAACTACAAAATTTCCTGCTGAAGGTAGTAAAAGAAAGTGAGGAAAAAGGATTAAACATCAAGTGTAAAAAGACTGAATGCAAGGTTGTTAGCAATCGGATGAACCCAAAATGCAAATTACAAATCGGAGATGCCAAAATCAAATAAGAACAAATATTTTAATATCTGGGAAGTGTTTTTAACAGAGGATGGAAAGTGCTACACTGAAATCCGAAGGCGTATTTGGAAAGTCGAAGATGCCTTCCAAAAGCTAAGCAGAGTATCAAGAAACAAGACCTTCATCAGAAACAAAGAAAATAGTATTGAACTGTTACGTGATATCTGTTCTCCTATATGCTAGTGAATGCTGGACAATCTCCTCACAGATGAAGAAGAGACTTGAAGCAACTCTAGTTCTACAGAAGGATGCTGAGAATATCATGGACTGAATATGTGAGGAACGATGAAGTTTTAGAGAAAATGGAAACAAAAAAGAAACTTATACTTAACATCGGAAAGAGAGAATACCATGGATCGAACATGAAGAAGAGACTTGAAGCAATAGAAATGAGGTTATACAGAAGGATACTGAGAATATCATGGACCGAATATGTGAGAAACGACGAAGTTTTAGAGAAAATGGAAACAAAAAGGAAACTTATACTTAACATCGGAAAGAGAGAATACCATGGATCGAACATGAAGAAGAGACTTGAAGCAATAGACATGTGGTTCTACAGAAGGATACTGAGAATGCCAGGGACCGAACGTTTGAGCAACGACGGAGTTTTTGAGAAAATGCAATGGAAAGGAATCTTATACTTAACACCAGAAACAGACAGTTGAAATTTCTATGGCATATAATGCGGAAAGAGGGCTTGGAAAATATGATACACACAGGCAAGAGGGACATAGAAAAACAACGCATAACATACTTATTGAGCTTGTGTAAATGGATGGCAGAACAGGGTTTAAGAGAAATAACAAAAATACAAAATTTATTCAGAGGTACGAAGAACAGGAAATACTGGAGAGCCATGATCTCCTATATCCTGAAGAAAACACGGTAGATAAAGAAAATGACAGGAATGCAAGTAGCTGGATTTAAACAGGCAAGAAATGCGGGAGAATGAACTGTTAGATTAGAACTTACGGCTACACATCGCAATTTCAAGAGTAAAACGATGTCCATTTGGCACAGCGTTTAAATTTGTGAAGTCGAGGTTTCAAAGAGTTAAGCAATATTTATTTTGAATAATACAAAAACGTGGGACAAGGTCAAAACGAGGGATAGGGGAAGGCTGGTTTTCAATCTGTCTTATCTTAAACTTACCTCGCAACAATTACTGACCCAAACATACCACAGTATAACTCACACCAAAACAACACATTCTTACTACAGTCACCATAATACCTCAAGTCTCTATGTAGTTCTAACAAGTTCCCATATGTACAATTTGTGTGTGAGAGGGTTAAATATAACAAATCCTAATGAATATTTAAAACGATTATAATTTTATATACAAGCAACTGAACAAAATGGCGAAAAAGTCAACTGAACAATTACCAGGAAAATATTTATAGAAAAAGGCATAGGTTGACTACGTTAATGGCGGTGGGAAAGTGATTGAAGTCAAGATGCCATGTTTGGTTTTGTTTATTTTGTGTTATGGGGTCCACCCCTTTTTCACACAAGTGAACTCGACCAGTGTGTACTTGTACTGCTGCTAGTGAATACCCGGGAGATATAGAGAGATACAGTGATACAGTGAGAGAGTGAGAGTGTGAGGTAACCGCTTTGTAGAAGTCACAGTTGCGAGCACGTAGACTCAGAAGGAAGTCCTACTTCGATACTGAATTTCCCAAACTCTATATATATTATTATTGCTACTAACCGCATTTCTGGATCTACTAACCGTATTACCAATTGTATTATTACGTCAATACATTTATTTGCTATATTTCATTCCTGCGTTTGTCATTTGAGACCGGATTTAATCCCGGAATTCACAACATTTTGTTTTACGGCATATCAACGTCCATGGGTTATTTAATACCGACAAAATTTTTATTGCTGGTAGTATTTTTGTCAGAAATGTAATGCTGGTAATATTTTTTTTCCAAAAATTTATTGTTTGTAATAATTTTTTTTTCATATATATTATTACAATGTTTTTTTAAAAAAATCATTGCTGGTAATAATTTTTTTACAAAAATGTATTGTTGGTATTAAAACCTATTCTTACACTATCATAGTGTTTTGACCCAAGTTTGGGAGTTAACTATTTGCCTATAGCTTGGACCTTAACAGGCTCTATCACCCCGAGTCAGGGTTGACCTGGGAACACCAGCAATTAGGAGGTGTTTCCACGCTCCTCAAAACCTCCTGATGAGAGCCCTTGATGATCGATGTAGATTATCGTCTTACCCAGGACGCGGATGTCGTTTATCGTCTTACCCAGGAAGCGGGTGTAGTTTATCGTCTTACCCAGAACGCAAGATGGCAGGTCAGGAGAGCTAAAATCACGTCTTCTTCTTAGGATCTTGTTAATAATCTCTAGATACATACCAGAAGCACCAGACCGTATGTGGGAACGAGAACGCAGGTTAGACTTATAAAAATGTAAGACAGATCTGGGTGAAAAAAAGTCTAGAAGAACACAGTGAACCAGCTACTTCGCACTGGTAATTCCCCCCACCCCCACAAAAAACAAAAAAAACAGGAGACACAGATACCTTGACGAACAGGTATTTTAATGTAATATCAGTCACGCGTGGATTGTCTGAAAGTAGAGCACCTGCCAGCGATAAAGTTTCACTTAAGCTGAGATTCGGTTTCTTGTCGTTTCTTGCTGTCTCCTATAAATAATACCAATAAAATGAGTTTAACACAATCAAGATATTTACGATATGGATGCGTAAATTCTTTTGTTTGGAAATAGGTATTATTTTTTCCTCCTTGAAATATTCGGCCACAGAAATGTGTTCGAAAGTCAGCATGCCTTTTAGGTAGTCCGTCCTTATTATGACTATAAACGCAAAGCCTATGATAGGGATGTTTTGAAGAGCGTGAAACTACCTCTTAATTGCTGTTCTTCCCAGGTCCACTCTGACCCGGGTTAGTAGCACCTGTTATGGTTGCAGCTATGGGCAACAAGTTAGCTCCAAAACTTGGGTGAAAACACTATGAAAGTATTAAAAAATAATAGCAAAATGCCAGCAATAGATTTTTATAGTAAAAACAATTACCAGGAATACATTTTTGGAAAAAAATACCAGGAATACATTTTTGTTGAAGAAATTAATAATGTTTCCAAGAAAATTAAATTTTGGCATTAAATGACCCCTAAGGAGTTGATAGGCCGCTAAACAAACAAAACATCCAAGATAGTTTCAGATTTTAGCTGAACGATGGAATAAAAGTCTATTAACGCCATTTTACAATACTAGAAAATTTTGCAAGAGGCTAACGTGTGTTGAATATTAATTGTTGTTGAAGTTATCGCTAACATTTTTGTCGAGATTTACGAAGTCTACGTTTCGTTCAATTTCGCAAACCAATCGATGAAATTTGAATAAGCTGATTTATTTGGAAAAATACTTTGATAAAAACTCTACTTCGCGGTTTAATACTTTTTTTTAATTTAATTTAATATTTATAGATCTTCATGGTAAACAATATTTTTTTTAAATCTTTATTTTTCCTTTTTAACAAAGAAGAATAAATTCTTAGGATTTCTTACTCTTGTGTATGCAACATATAACTGGCCATGCATAAATATTTTTTTCTGGAGCAAAATTCCAACTTTTTGAAGCATTTGTCCTTTGTGATTTCTCGCAGACGCAGGGCGAAGTGGAAACAGGATTCTTGTATTTAAAAAAGATATGCAAAACAATATTGCTTTTTTATTAAATAAGTATTTGTTATTTTAATCATTAAACTATTTTTTTTAATAATGGGAGTATTTTTACGTTAAATAATAAAGCTTATAATTTTTCCTAAAAAAAAAAAAATAATGAAAATTTGTTGTACTAAGATACGCACCTTAGTAAGAGCAATTGTACTTTGCCCCACCCTTTACCTGTTTGCATTTTTACCCAAAATTTGGTTTCGATCGATTAATGTATGGCTATTTTAGAGGGCGTGACTGACGGACTAACGGAAGTCACAGAATTTTATATATAGACAGATAGGTTATCTCTTGAATAAAATCACAACAAATATATTAATATTTTAAAATTTAAAGCTTGGACCAACATGTCTCCTTCCAACTGACTCAGACTTTCTTTGCATAAATATGTTTTTAATACTGAAAAAAAAGTAACTAAATAGTGTATTTGCTCAAAGAACATTTACTAAAATTTTTCATTCTTTACTAATAAATTTTAGTTACCCTCGCATATCTGTATAAAATACTATTTTTTTTACACTTACGGCCGAATCATATTGAAACACTAGTTCCCGTACGATCCACCAAAAGTTAAACACCGTCGAGCCTGGTCAGTATCTAGATGGGTGACTGCTTGGGAAGACCAGGAGTTTTAAGCTTGGATGTGCTACTGGCGTAATGAATAATAACTCGGCATTGTTAATTTTTCTTCTCTTTCTCGTTTTTTTTTTTTCTCTCTCATCTTCTTCAGTCTGTTTAACTTTCCGGGTGGGGTAATCTATAGCGGCTCGGAATTTTTAATTGGAGTGCGTAAATGAATAAAACAGACCCAACTGGAATTGGAACTCGACACTCCAATTCCAGTTGGCTTTGTTATATTCATTTACGCACAAATACTCTTCAGATTTCGGCATTAAATAACCCACTGATGTGTTGATATGCCGCTAGACAAAAAAAAAAGAAAAAAAGAAGAAAAATCAACAAATTGAAATATGCGTTTACTGCAAGCAAAATGCAATGAATTTTACTTACAATTTCAATTCGTATCCAGAAAAATCATTTTTTTTTTTTTTTTTTACGCGAGAATTTTTTTATTATTATAGTTTTAATTATATAAAACCCAACAAAGACATTGCATATGATAAAGCAGTAGTTCACAAACATTTTTGCCCAGTTCCCCGTTTTCATGATAAGTCAGAATGTCATTACCACACCCTTTTCAATAATGTCCAATTCAAAAGAGACATTCTAAATAATATGCATATATTACTGAAAATTTTCAGTTTTTTCCATATCAATGCGCATACATTTACATGGTTTAATTTTATAGAGGATCTTTTAAAAATTTAAGAGCAACTGAAAATGTTGATGCATTTTTAAACCTGAATACATGTACATTATTTTTTTTAATTCATAAGTAAATGTAAAATAAATAAACTGAATCATACTACAATAAACAAAAAGTTAAATAGAACACCAGGGTACTGTGATTCGATAAACGAAATTTTGTAAATAAAAAGTCAGGGTACTGTGATTCGATAAACGAAATTTTGTAAATAAAATGTCAGGGTACTGTGATTCGATAAACGAAATTTTGTAAATAAAAAGTCAGGGTACTGTGATTCGATAAACGAAATTTTGTAAATAAAAAGTCAGGGTACTGTGATTCGATAAACGAAATTCTATAAATAAAAAGTCAGGGTACTGTGATTCGATAAACGAAATTTTGTAAATAAAAAAAACTGTGATTCGATAAAAAATTTTGTAAATAAAAGTCAGGGTACTGTGATTCGATAAACGAAATTTTGTAAATAAAAAGTCAGGGTACTGTGATTCGATAAACGAAATTTTATAAATGAAAAAAGTCATTTTCGATAAACGAAATAAAAATCAGGGTGCTACTGTGATTCGATAAACGAAATTTTAAATAAAAAAAAGTAAATAACGAATTTCTATAAATAAAAAATCAGGTTACTGTGATTCAATAAACGAAATTCTATAAATAAAAAAGTCAGGCTAGTGTGATTCGATAAGCGAATTTTTGTAAATAAAAAGTCAGTGTAATGTGATTCGATAAACGAATTTCTATAAATAAAAAGTTAGGGTACTGTGATTCGATAAAAGAATTTCTCTAAAGAAAAACTCAGGGTACTGTGTGACTCGATAACCGATATTCTATAAATAAAAAGTCAGGGTACTGTGATTCTATAAACAAAATTCCATAAATAAAATCCAGGGTACTGTGATACGATAAACGAATTTCTATAAAAAAAAAAAAATCAGTGTACTGTGATTTGATAAATGCAATTCTGTAAATAAAAAGTCAGGGTACTGTGATTCGATAACCGATATTCTATAAATAAAATGTCAGTGTACTGTCATTCGATAACCGAAATTCTATAAATAAAAAGTCAGGGTACTGTGATTCGATAAACGAAATTCTATAAATAAAATTCAGGGTACTGTGATTCGATAAACGAATTTCTATAAATAAAAAGTCAGGGTACTTTGATTCGATAACCGAAATTCTATAAATAAAAAATCAGGGTACTGTGATTCGATAAACGAAATTTTATAAATAAAAAGTCAGGTTAGTGTGATTCCATAAACGAAATTGTGTAAATAAAAGGCAAGAATATGTAAAATATTTTCCCTCCTGCATGAAACTCCAAAATTAGCCCCTGGCGGAATTTCACTCTGATTGAGAATATCTATGAAAAATCATATAAACTATTTAGATTAATATGGCGTTTAATTAAAGTGGCAATATTCTCTGAAAAAAAAATGTTAATTGAAGATGTAATGAAAAGACTTTTTATAAAGTACGTAACAAAAAAACTACTGGGTGCCCAGTACAAAAGCTGTAATTTCTGAAAGATGTGAGACAACCGTTGAAAACTGGTGAGGACTGATGTGCCTAAAAACATTCATAAAGAATTTCTGTACATTTCGTCAATCCCCACGTCGGATGTTCTTCGTTGAAAAGTATGATAATTTGACGCTCAAAATCGGTGAGTTGTCAGCCATACACGAATGGCAGTCGAAACTTGTCTGCAATTCACCTTTAAATGACGTGACACAAGATCGTGCAGCAATTAATCAATCATAAAAGAACCAATCAGAGTTAAGGAATTACGTGAGAGTGTAATGATTATTCAAGGTCATGAATGTTCAAGAAATTTATTCAAAGTCAATTATTCGTAAAAGATAAGACAGTGATAATAAATTTACTCTCTTTTTACTGGGCAGGCTCTATTTGAACTGAGGTAAGCTTGATGTATCTGTGAAAAACATATTAGAATAATCCAGAACCTGTACAGGATGCAAACCGTCTGCATATGGATAGAAATTAATTCTGTAAATATACGAAAAAAATAGAAAGGGGAGTAAGACAAGGAGATAACTTCTCACCTGAATTATTCAACCCATACTGTGATGCGATCATGAAAGAATTAGAAGTCCCAAGATTCATTATTGGTGGCTATAATCTTAACAGCATAAGATATGCACAGTATTGATGATATACACAGAAAGGAAAACAAAAGAATGCCTACAGGAGATGAAGTAAAGCAAGGAGAAAGGAATATAAACATCAATTGTAAGAAGATAGAATGTATGTTTGTCAGCAAAAAGGAACAGCCTAAGATGCGAGTTACGAATGAGAGATACGAACATCAAGCAAGTATGATAATTTTAATATTTAAGAAGTGTTTGACCAGAGAGAAGAAAATGCGTATTCGAATTCCGAAGGTGCATTGGAATGTTGTCTTCCAAAAGTATTAAGAAACAGGAAACTATGTATTAAACTTGTATATATGCCATCGGTCATCCTATATGTTAATGAATGCTGGACAATTTCCTCACAGATGAAGCAACAGTAATGTGGTTCTACAGAAGGGTGCTGTGAATACCATGGACTGACCTTGTGGGCAATGACAAAGTTTTAGTGGAGGTAGAAAAATAAAACGTATACTTAGAATCAGAGAGTCAGTTGAAATTTATTGGATACATAATGAGGAAAGAGGATTTGGAAAAATTGACACTGGCAGGATACATGGAAAGCAAGACGTAGTGAGGAATTCAGTGAAAAACCTACCTAACGAACTTATGTAAATGTTTGGCAGAATAGGAATTGGGAGTGATAGACAATAAATAACCTTTAGCAAGATCTATAAAAAATAGGATGTGGAGAAGCTATAAAAGATAGGATGCAGCACATAGAAGAAGAATTTTTCTTTCTACGGTTTAATCGGATGATAAACGTAGTAACTTAGACACATGATAAAAGCTTTTTTGTTGTTGTTTTACCCTCCCCAACACCCCCAACACCCCCCAAAAAAAAAAAACTCATAAACACTCCTATGAATAACCAAAACGGATAGCAGCTCGCACGCTTGGAACTTAGTCGCCAATTCAACAGCGAGACACCGTCGTCTATCTCCCGCAGTTTTATGTGAAACTGACGGGGCTTGTCAGCTATATATCAGATGTTGTCAAGTGACTAACAAGTAATCTTCCCTTTGGCTAAAGGGTAGATTTTATAATTATATTAAGTGCTAATATTATAAGAAACATTTGGCATTCGTTGACCGAACAGCCAAGGTTGGTATTGGTTGAAATTTATTAAATCTTTCTATTAAAATAATTTCTCAGGGAAATGGATTTCTCAAGTCCAGTAACTGTTATTGTTCTTTCTAGTATTCATGTTTTGTTTCCTTCCTAGCATTTTGTTTGAAGTAGTGTAGAATATCAACATCTTAATTATGTCATAATGTTCTCTTCTGGTTCTATGTGATATCTATTTTACGTGTTGCTGCTGTTGAAAGTCCTCAAATGATGCGGCTTTTGTTATTTGGTAGAGTTCTTTAGGATTCTGTAGCGCCAATCCACGATATTCGAAGAAGGATAATCATCTAAGCCAGTTTTAATAACTGATCTGAGAAAGGGATTGTATACAGGTGATGATCTCATCTAGAGTTTATTTTGGGGTTTCTTTTAGAGTTTGTTGTTTTGCTGATTCGTGAACTCTCTGGTTGGCACTGAAGAGTCTGGAATTGTTCCTAAAAAAGGATAAGTATCAGAGACAAAAATGTTTCGTTAAAAACAAAGAAAAGAGTATTAAATTGTTACGTGACATATATTTACATTATTTACTTTGTTCGGACTGTTGTCCTTATCTTTATTGCCATATTCACGGCGTTTCGGCTGTTGTACGCTCTGGCCTTCTTCAGTTGACAGGAATTTCGAATTGAACACTTTGATTTCAAGGTCGCATTGCCCAATGGATAAAAACGTTGCTTGGATCCAGTGACTTGACCAAAAGTGTTGTGGGTTCAATACCTGGCTAGTGCAGTGGTGAACAAAAACATAGAGAGTTGAGTTAAAGAGAGATAACGGAGACACCCGGAAGAGACATGGCACGTGGAAGTAGAATAATCTACCCCTGTGAACGAAATAAAGAGTTCAGTTCGAAAATCCAATCACCTGAGGATGGTCGGAGAGTACAACGACTGAAACGTCGTGAATATAGCAATAAAGACGCAGGCAACATTCCGAGCAATGTAAATAATGTAAATAATTACAATGCCTCATCTCAGAAATACAAACAGATACGTGATATCTGCCCTCCTGTATGGTAGCGTATGCTGGACA